ATCTCGTCGAGGGGAAATTAAATAAATCTGGAATGAATGCACGTCTTTCTAATTGACTCTGCTCAGTCATCAGCGGTCTGGACTCACTGATTTATTTTATGTATGAGCCCGTCAGGTTTCACACAGCAGACATTTTATACAAACACTTCATTACAGCTGAAATAAATCTTGAGACGAACCTGTCGATTATGTTGAACTCCACAAATCAACATGTTCTTCATATATATTAGATTTTGTTCTGCATTATTTCCTGAATTATTCATGAGCTTGTGTACTGACTGGCAGGCGTATCTGCTGCACCGTTCTTCATCTTACAGTTCACAACACATTAGGGGCGTTCTCGCTTTCAAGAGCACTGTGTTTCCGGGGCTTTATTTTAATAAGCTGTCACTGCCTCTCCTACTCTGCATATATACGGACATTTCCACAGTCTGTTTACAAGCAGAATTAAAAGCACAGAGGGAGGCTGAGATGTGCGCTGCGTTGCTCAAGTGGACAGAAACACAAATTCTCCTTATACTTCGCAGCTAAATACGCTGAGTGAGAAGAGAGAGAGGAACGGAGACGGAGAGAGAGAGTGAGAGAACGAGGGGCAGACAGGATGTGAAAGAGAGGAAGGAAGGAGGACAAGTGCAAAGGCTACTTTCATGAACAAGTGGCTCAAGATGCTTCAGCGAGTTTCTGAGACAAACACACACGCGAAGACAAATGTTGCCTGTTCAATTAGACACACCTCTAAATTGAGGCCTATGAGGAGGAAGCTGGCGCCTGAGAGAAGGAGGCTCTTGGCGTTTCTGGGCTGTCAGCGGCCGCGAGGAGGATCAGACTGAAACCGGTCCACGAGTTAGACAGCCGGGATCTGAGGGGATCGGGCCCGGCTATTTCAAGCCACCCAAATGAAGAGGGGGAGAGAGGGGTGAGGTGTGATGATGAGACGTCTCCCCCCCAGCCTGCAGGCGGCGCACAGGTGAATCGGCTGCAGCTTTTTAAAAATGGAGATTGATGGTCAGGAGGCAAACTGGTGACCGTGTGAAACCGATCAAAACCTGCTGACGCAAAACATTCACACCGCGTTGCCTCCTTCAGAATGTGCTTCATCCGTCTGCGTTTAGCCTGCGATCCCTTTTGACGTTTAGTAAATGCAGAAGCCAGATACTCGGGTGCAGCTCACATCAAACCTCGTGTCAGCAGTTTGTTTGGGCAAAACATGCACCCTGGAGGAAAAGTACAAAATTAACTTAACTGATCCCTGGATTCCAAACTCTGTTTAGAATTCTTCCTATTTTAAAAGTTCCCCGCTGAATATTGGAGATAAACTCTGGTTTTTAATTACTTTTAAAGTATTTTTGAACTGGTCTACAGTTCGGCTTTATTCTTGTACTTGCCGGACCTGAACCTGATAATTTAGCTTTTGAACAATCTGTGTCCACACATCCTTTCGTTGAACAAAATCTCAAAAACAAACCTACAAACGCTCAAGTAGGTGGCGCTAAAGTTCATGAAGCGATCCGTGAAACACCACAGAGGAATGTTTGGGTCCAAGACTAAAAGCATTCACTCATTCACTTCTGCCACTTTTTAAAAAATCAAACATTAGCAATCTTCTTGCACTTTCATTCTTTAATATTTGTTTGAAATCTTTACCCCCTGAGCCAGTGATTCTCAAACCTGCCTCCACAGAGAGAACTGTATCCCCTGGCCCCCTGGCTGCAGCTCTTTTTTTCCCCGCACATGAAAACATGAAAACTAAAATATCACAGTGAACAGACTGAATAGAGTCACAGATAAAGAGATGAGAGATGAGTGCGGTCGCATTTGCAAAGAGCACTCCACTCGGCCTTCGCTCGTGGTGGTGCGGTTTTATAATCCGAATAAGGAGGGTAATTGATAACCACTGCAGTTCATTGTCGCGTCGACAGCGTGAGGCTCATAATGTCCTTATATGTGTGTGAATGATAAAGGGAAAGGGGGCGCGGCGTGGGTGTTTGGCGGCGTAGATATAATAAGATCAGTGTAATGGAGGCATTCATGCGTAAATATAAGTCTTCAATTTTGGCATTTTCAGCTCCGATGCCCTCTCAAAGCTTTTGTTTGTCATCGTTATTATTGTGTTCTTATGATTAAACAAGTTCGTCATCCTGCGTCGCCGTTCAAACCGAGCGCCGTTTGAGACTTCGCAACACACACACACACACGCAGAGAGAGTACCACGCACGCTGCTCTTGTTCCGGCGCAGCTCCCTGGGGCCTCCTCCCGGGGGCTGTTCTGAGAGATAGCGGGGACCCTCTCCACACACTCTCTCCCCCACTGTCTGACCTTTACGAAACACAAGTCAGAAAATGTGTGGCATTTTCCTCTAATCATCTGCACCTAAGCACATGAGAAATGGTGCCGTGCCTCAATTAAGGCCCCAAGAGGAATGAATCACTTTTCCTCAATGGCGGTCGTTATCTAACCCGCAGGCACTTTAGCTCCCGGCAGCGTTCCTCTTAGCTTCCCATCACACGACTTCATCCTATAGTTATCCATATTCCCGCCGTCACCCTTGACACGGACGCTTATGCTTTACATTCTTTAATCCACTGTTTATTTGCGGCTGCATTCCAGCGTTACATGCCCGACTTCACACACTCGTCTGCCCGCCTGTGTCTTTCTTCCTCCTTCCTCCGTCCTCTAGTCGATACACTTCTCATTTCATCTGTGCTGGAATCTCTCAAAAGCCGCAGCTCAAGGAACACACAGAGCGAGAAAGTCCTAAATAAATCCTTTCAATATGCTCTGTGTCTCGGTGAGGCACCGGCTCCTCCTCTGAATCACAACTACTCAGATGGGAAAGCCACTTAGAAGTGGAGTTTTCTGCCCCCGACTTTTCCCAAGGACACAACGCAGAGTTCTGTGTCTGTACCTAAAGCTAAACAGAGAAACTTGTGAATAACATGTTCGCTTTTGTTGTTCTGAGCGTCTTAAAAATGACTCAATAGGAGCAGAAACAAGTCTGAGATGCTGTTTAATTCAATTTCTTTATTTATTTCAACCTTATTTACCATGTGAGGGTCACGGACTTCACAAGGAGGACAGACATCGATGCAGCGCAGGTTCTCGAGAGCGAGAACCTTGGAAGAAAGAAACATCAGCGGTAAAGAAGCAAGTAGCAGCAACAACAAATTGTTATTGAAGCAGCAAGATGAATCGTTGCATAAAATAAATACGCCGTGCCTTTAAGATAACCTCCACACTGAGCTGAACAGTAGTTTGTGAAAGTCTATTGCATCTGTTTTCGTGCTTACGTCCTTCTACTTCATAATTTTCTTTAAAGCAAATTTAGAGTTTTTCGGCCACTTGGGGGCAGTAGACAGCCTGATGGACGACATGAGAGCTCTCCAGTAGTGAAGCCAAATTATTTCGACTCAAACCTGAAACAGAAAATGGACACGAAAAGCCGGAAAAGCCAGAGGGACAGTTTGGGTGAAGAAAAGCTTATTGCACAAGATGAAACATGCTTATTGCTGCAAGCGTTGTCTCCAACTTCCTGCTTTTCCGAGGAGCACACGAGGAGTTGTGCATTTCTTTATTCTCACCAGCCTGTTGCACGGTCAGTCAGGAACAAATCCTTGTATGTGACAAATTTAAAAACAAAGGGAGATCACCTCCCGTCTGCACAAATCTGAACGTTGCACGGTGGAGTTGAAGCGAGCAGGAAAACACTTCACTTCAGAAAGTGCGTTCTCTGATTTGCTACCTCCAGGGGCAGAGTTTTTAAAAACATCTATAATTCATTTGCTGCTAAGTGATATTAAAAAGCAAACATGTGTCTTATGATAATATTTGTGCCCCTCGTTCGAACTCCACCGAGCCACTGCGGCTCCTCCTCTTGTGTATTTTGGGATTAGCTCTCTGATCAAGAAGAGATTTCTGAGAGGTTAATGGTGTAATTTAAAGAAACAAATCTGTTCTCCTCAGAACGATAACGTCGGAAATCTCTTTTCACTCGGCTCAGACGACTAATAACCAAAGTGATTTCCCTTTTCCTGGACCTCATAATTGATTCATTAAACTGGTTCCTCCTTTATTGCTGCACTGTCGACTCCATCGCCTCATGCCTTTGTATTAGATGCAGGCAAGAGGATGTGATAGTATAAATAGATTCTCCTTCATATACTCTGCAGGGATTACGTCAGTCCTAATGAGACAGAGAGGAGAGAGTGTTTTTGCATCTGGTGATTGTGTTGTGGAGTGACGGGGCTTCTTATGTGTGTGTGTGTGTGTGTGTGTTTGTTTGCCATTGATTTGTGGTTGGTATTGCCGTGATCCCCTCCACTCCTCTCACCAGGAACTCACAATTGCGTTTGGTTCGATGAGGCCACTGGAGGAGTTGATAGGACTAATTCTCACCAGCTCATGACCACACAGACACTCCAGCTCAAGTAGCTCCCCACGTGCAATCATTCACTTCCTCTGCTTTCCCCATTTATACCTTAATCATAAGAAGTTACATGTGATCATATTTGCCCATCCTCCACATTAAGGGTCGGTTAATTTGTTCATCTATGTTGAAATCCTCTTCACGTCCCAGTCGCCATCAAGAAATAAAGAAAAGAGTAAAGTGCAGCGTTTCCAGGATTATGCACAGGTCGGGAGGTTCAAGTTTCTAACAACTGTTCTGATAGCCTGAAGACGGCCGACCACAATTTCAGACAGAAGCACCCGGTCGTTTCTCGCCCGGTCCTGTACGCTGTACAAAAAAAGGTGCAAGGTCAAATCCTGCAAGTCACTTTCAGAAGAAACTTTCTGAAAATAATGACTTGACTACTCAGATAACCAGTTATCCCCCCCCCCACACCTGTCCTCCTCGTCATACCCATGTCCTCAGACTTGTCCCCTCCCCCTCCACTTGACTGTTCCCACTTGTCAGCGCTGCAGTCACCCGAGCTCTCCCCATGTGCACCTCATTCATCAATCAGCCCTGCTCTCTCTCTCTCTCTCTCTCTTTATATATATATATATCAGGTCGCTTCTATTGTTCCTCAGGTTGCCTGGAGCTGAGACTTCGGGAGGACACGTGCTGTTAGTTAGCAGGATTACAAAAAAAGTAGATGGATTCCCAGAGAACCTGATGGAACTGCAGCTGAAATTGTGACGTCGAGGACAGAAACAAAATATCTCAGCACACAGCTAAACAATCGGCAAAGTAAGAGATCTCTTAAAAATGTTTCTGTTCCCTTTTAGTTATTATCACTGTTCTTAAAGCTTCTTTTCTTCCTCTCACTAAGTGGAGAGGTGCAGATATTCTGATGACACATTTAAACATAGTGGACGGTGGCCCCCCCCAGTGCTTCTGATCAGAGCTTTAACCAGGCAGCACACATGATCTCAACTCAACTGCTCCGACCCACTCCGTCATCCATGATAGGTGCTATCATGCTCCGGAAATAGGAGCTACACGGTCGGGGAGTGAGAGACTCCCATTTGATTTACTGACCTCAGGAACCCGTCATCTCGCAGGATCCTCTGGCTACAAAAGGAAACGGTTAATTCAGTTTAGTCCGAAGATTTATTTCTCTCTTCAGCGTCCTGTATGAAGCGCTCATTCAAAGTCATCAACCCTGTCCCCCCTTTTCTGCCAGCACTGCACCCGGAGCCCATCACTCTGCGTGACTTACCGAGGAAAAGACTTTCTTATCTTCGGCGAGGCCGCAATGCCTTTCTCGTGGAAAACGATCCTTATCGCGCAGCTTTCATTGGGTTTTCTCTCTGAAACTCTTAGAAGTCATTGTGCGCGCTCCTTTTGGGTTGGGATGAACTTTTTTTTCATCTTTTTTGGGGTTATGGAAATGAATGATTTGGAATCTCTTAAAGATTCAACACAAAAGTGATGGAGTGAAGTATTTAATCAAAAACAGGGTTTGTCTGCAGCAATGCCACAGTCTGAAGAGTATAAAGACAACCGTGATGAAGTACGGGCGCTGCCGTGAGGCTCATAACGAGTTTCTGGGACACCGCTACAACATCTAATCATTAAATGTAAGGTTTGAATACCTGATTTAGATTTCAGAGGGGTTCACTGTCCTCTAACAAACCACACTCAACTTTTCTGAAGCTGAAAAGTTGGGATTGTGAATTTGTTACACAATGGAACGGGGTGGGGATTAATTAAAAATGACAAATGCGGGTATTTGAACACAGAGAATAAATAAACTCACACACAGAGGAGTCTGGGTTGTTGAAGGTAGAGGGTTCATGGCACTAATTAAATCACACTGCATTAGGGGGATCACAGTGGCAGCTTGCTGCTGATCCACATCCAGCTGGAGGATCATGAAATGAAGGGGATTCTGATGTGCAATATGGAGAAGTAGATTGATTTGTTAAACCTTTAAACCAACTACACTGAATTTTCAAATCGAATCTGTGCAAATAATGGTAGAAACCGGGAACATTTTCTTCCATGACAGGTGATTAACTTGACATCTCAGACGTTCTGCTCTTTTCTTGCCTCAGTGAAGCAAGTGCAAGTTTTTTTTCTGCAGCCATTTCTGTGGTGTTCATTTACTCTGTTTGGACTCGAAAAATATAAGAAGCCTTTGGGCTATTTTGCAGAAAATAAGAATGGCTGTTATTTACTGCCCTCAACACGACTGTCTGTCTGCACACTTTCTCCAAAACTACCAAACCAATTTCTGTCGAATGCTGTGGAGGGATCAGAAAATGTTTGTCTATGTGATGAGGGGCCTGATCTCAGTTGACAGACATGGACATGATGGCTTCTTAAAAATGAAGCCAAAGATTCTCTGGATATAAACGCTGCTCCTTCCGTGTTACCACATGAAACATGGGCCAAACCAAAAAGTCAAAGTACACATCAACACTCTTATTATCTTATCTTATTTTCAGTTTAAAAAATCTATCATTCATAAATCTGGGATACACAATCCAATTAATCTCCACTGGATACCTGTAATCTCCTTTTCTATAATCTAAAGTGAAGGTTAAGATTAATTGAAACACAAATTACAAAGATGTTCTGTGTCACTCTTGTAGATTCAAAGAGTGAGGCCTTCTTTAAATTCTTCTCGTGAGAACTTTTAATGGTTTCCAGTCTGTGTTGGGCAGCGCAGCCCGTCCCTGAGGCCGCAGCGTAAGAATTCAAATCATGTTAAACTCCTGTCCTGGTGTCCACGAGTCAAATCGAACTCGTGTGGCGACTGTTTCCACCCGTGACAAGATATAACAGAGACTGACAGCAAATACACCAGTGACTGACAGTGCAGACCATCACAATGTTGATATTGGAATCCAGCACAGTGGTAATGACACAAGATGAGACGTTCCTCAGGCCATTCCTCTGCTCTCATGAGACCAGTATTGCTTTTCTCTGCTCCTCTCTGTTCTGCACCCAGCAGCTCAATGTGTCCACTTCTGCTGCGTTTTTTTAGGTGGCTCTCAAAATGTATGAGTTTTTTGAAATGCAACAACGCTGAAGTCGCTGCACACATGCACCGAACAGCACGCACTAATTAACTGCGTCGCCTTGTCTCTCTGTCTCAGAATGAATGGACAGAAGCAGTGGACGAGGGTGGCTGTGATGGCTCTCCTGGTGCTGACGGTGATGGCCGCCGAAGGAGGCAAAGCAGAGAAACAAGGTAAACGCTGAAGGAAAAGCACTTTGTCATATTACCTCTGCACTGTTTCCTCAGTGGAGTGACACACAATGCTATCTCTCCTCACAGGCTCCGCCGTGAACAATGTCCCTCGTGACAACTTATTTAAGTGGACACAACTTTTCAAAATATAGGAAATTAAGGAGGATGCCTGTGGGGTTAAAGTTATTTGTCCCCTTTGAGAATTTACCAGAAACAAAGAGCAATATCTCGCAGAAAAGGGAAAATAAGTCAGATAAATCCCTCTCGGGTAAAGAGAACAACATGTAGTTTAATTTAAATTCAAGAGAAAAAGTCAATTTGCATTGGAAATTAGTACAAGCACCAAAACCCATTAGAACTGCCTTGTAATATTAATAAAAGGTCCAAGAGTAAATACTTTTACAGACATTGCATGTAGCACTTTATGTTCTGTTTTATTAAACACTTTTTTACAGCCTGAACCGTCCAATAAGACTCCAGTTGTTAAAGTGTGTGTTTGTGTCGTACAGGGAAGAAGGAGCGCAAGTCGGACTGCGGCGAGTGGCAGTGGAGTGTGTGCGTAGCCAATGAAGGGGACTGCGGACTCGGCACCAGGGAGGGAACGCGCACCGGCACCGACTGCAAGCAGACCATCAAGACCCAACGCTGCAAGATCCCCTGCAACTGGAAGAAGAAGTTTGGAGGTTAGAGAGAAAATGTTCAAACTGTTTATAACGACGGATGATGTGTCTCCAAAACCTTGGTGCAACTCCCTTACACTTCCCATTGTACAAAAAATTGAAGCTAAAATATCATGGCTGCCGGGGTCACCATCTCGTGAAACCAGAATCTGTGATGTAACGATCATGGACTGGAGTCTCGGTATCAAGGTCTTGCTGAGACATGAATTTGACCAATCGTGAGTCAGTGTCAGTCGTCATCACATTTTTATAGCATCAAATATCGAACTAAAATGTCACTGTAGTGTATTAACACACACATTTAAATTCACTAGGTTTGGATTCTTATTTGGAACAAATACACACACTCATAAATATCAGTCCTCTAAATATTTTCAATCACTAGTCAGTCCCAGAAATTCAAACAGCATCAAATAACTTCTTAAAACCAAACTATACTTACAAAGTATAACCTATCCTGCAGCCGGCCACCAGGGGACGATCAAGACGCTTTGGCTTCACTCTCAGTCAGCTGTCATCGTCCATCTTTGATACTCAGGCGGTGACAAATGGAAACAAGCTGCTCTTATTGAACGTCTACGTTTGGTCAGATCAGTATTTTGATCACCTCCACCCACATCCTGAAGACCTCCCTCTCTCTGTGCAGGCTCCCATCCATCTCACCCTACACCTCCACATGATGTATGGTCGCCTGTTATTCTCACAAACAATGGCCCTACTTCCACAATGGGAGGGAGAGAGCTTGCTAATTAGAGGTCCTACAGAAACGTCTGCCGAAGACGTGATGCATTGTCATTGAAAAAATAAAAAAACAGGAATAATCATCCCGCTTTGTCATTTGCTTTTCGGACTCGGAGTGCGTGCAGCCGTCAAAGCTGAAAGGTCTCACAGTGACAAACCTGAGGGACTTTTGTTTCCCCCCAGTACGGCCTGTCAGGCATGGAGCCTGCAGCTCTGCAATGTGCCTGTCACGAGTGATGAACACGCTGCAGGAAATAATGGTCCTGCTAACTGGCTATATAGATTATAGCAGCACAAGTTTTGTGGAAGTGGCAGGAAGTTACAGACTCCTGGCCTCTGAATTGTGGAAAGTTCCCCGAGAAAGGAAAAGACTGGAAAGTGAAAAGAAACACAACAAAGAGTGATGATTGCCTCACTTGCACGGTAGAAAATGAAGCTTCCTGGAAACCAGATCCAGTGTCTTTTTATTTTGGAGACAGATTTGTCAGAACAGTCGGACAAACCAAAGACTCTGGAGGCAGATAACGTCCGAAGCACAAGATGGCGGCCCCCTTCTCCGTGATATTTTGGTTTCATTCAGTATAATGGGGGGACGGGGGGGAGACGTGTTGTCCATCTTAATATAGTCTCGAGTGAGATATCAATGTGAAGCTGCTCAGTAACACGTCCAGTTTGTGTTGAATTCCTGAAGAAACATTAGATTTGATTCTAAAGACGGTTGAGAATTGTTATTTTCACCGATGGGAATCTGGTTAGTGAGCGAGTACGTTTCTTTTTACTACTTGTGTGTGTGTGTGTGTGTGTGTGACACCTTAAAGAGGACATGGGCTGCCTGTCAGCCAGGAAGCTAAATTATAGGTACGGAGGCTTGTTTTTTTTTTTTTTTTTTAAGTTGGATGCTCATGAAGTCCCTGTAGGATTCCCACAACAATGGCCCTGTCACTCTCTCTCACCACTCTCCGTCCCTCCTCTCCTCACCCCTTCTCCCACCTCTCTCCTCCTGTTGATGAGCGCCCTGGGATCTCGGAGGCAGTGACAGGGCGTCCGACGCTTTCATGTAGGAGGAAGATGGCGAATGAGTGTCACGGCCCCGAGGGAGCCCTGGCTAGAGTGGCAACAAAATAATGGAGGGACAGTTCACAACACACACACGCACACACACACACAC